GTGCCCTCAAATATGATGTATAACATCCCGTAAATAGATTTTCCCAAAATGTATTTGTTTATGAGTAATATTCCGTTCACACATGGATGGGCCTGTGTGCATATTATTTGTGCGTTAAAACAAAAATAAACTTCTTCACAAAATAACACTGGAAAAACTATATAATTGTAACGAAAGTACTAGAAAATTCATATATAGCTGAAATCAAAGTTATTAATTAATGTCAGACTTGTTAATGGTGTAAGCAGCCTATTCAATGCTTTCATGAAACTTTCGCAACAGAACTTGCCCGTTCGGTGCCTGTAGAAGTGGGTTTTATGAATAACAGATTAAAATTGGACTGAGAGATTAGAAACCAGCTGTTTTTTAATAAAGGAGAGCAGTAGGAGAGATTAGGCGAATTGAAGAAAACTCAAAAAGAAGCTGGGAGATGTCCGGGTAGTGTAGAAAAAAACTTCGTACTGTTGAGCCACCTTTCTTTTAGCCAATCATGTTTTTAAACGCATTTGCTTTGTCATTTACGTCTATAGTTTATCACGTAGAAAAATGAAACTTTATACTTCTTAATGTAACTCCGGAAACTTGAGCAGTGATTTTCATGTTCATAGGACTCCGTTGTCTGGCCGAATCAAACGACATATTATATATGCTTTAGTTTCTATTTATTGGACGAAGTTTCAGCCACCACGGTGGACTCTCTCATTATACTTGAAAAAGCCATTGCTGTGGCCAAAACATCCTACAATAAATCGAAATCAAAACATATATGTGGCTAGCCAATGGAGTCTTGGAATTCCTAAGGATTCCCGTGAACACGGGTCCTCCGTCGTGTTTCCCGGTTAGAAAACTCTTGTGTATACCCAAGTGTACCTGTTCAAGTACCCGGATCCGAAAATCCTGAACTTGGTATATGACCATCACTTGCCTGAATCAAGAGATTTAGTAACTTAGTAGAAGGGATACACTTCCTTATGTGCCTTACTTCTCCAAACAGACTACTAGGTCCTTGTATCTGAAAGAGAAAGATCTCAGATCGAATGACTAGACATTTAAGTGCTGATTTAGCACGTGAAAATCTGGAAAAAAACTTCGTGTAAGCACAGGTTTGGAAACTCCTGTATCCATGATACCATAAACTAGGTTTGGCGTAAAGTACGTTTATAGGGGTGGTTTTCTCCACATCATATTAATTATACTTCAATTTTCACTGCAAGCTATAAATAGATTGACGCACCAGTTACGTAAACAATTTTTATTAAAACAAAGCTGCATCTGAACACTCTTTTTCCTAGATACAGCTTTTAAGTAAACATTTCTGACTTCTCTTAACCTCGTTAAAGCATTTCGATATTGTTTATAAAGGGGATGCTAGTATAATATTTGTTGCAGGTTTTGATAGTGTAGATCCTACTATTCAATATAGACGTAATAAAGTTTAAGTTGTTAAAAATGTCACCACAGTCAATTTGATTGCTTAGCAACTTGTGCACAGAGCAGCAGCTTAACAATGATGTGTACAAGACTGATCATACCAAAGTGATTTAAAAGATCCTTATTTGGATAGTTGAATGGAGAATATGCACTACATGCATTCAAATACGGATATTTTAAAAATGTTCTCTGAATTTCTTCGACCTAAGATATAACGTATACATATATAAGAATATCAGATTATACAACCATATTCTTAAAAATTTTAGTTAAAGTGAAATACAATATTTTTTATTATTTTGTGTTAGTAAAGGATCTAGAATGTCTAGTAATATAATATCTGAAACTAATTTAACTACCTGATTCAAGTGTGTAGAAACTGACACATCTGAAGTAGAAATACCTAGCCCTTTTGCTTCCTGAACTCTGTCAAGTTTATGGTTCTCCAATATACAGGGTGTCCCAGAAAAAAGTGTGCAATATTCTACCAGCGGTTTCTACAGCTCAAAATAGGAAGAACAGTTTATATAAAGATAGGCCGACAAACGTCCCCTAAGGGCGTTAAGGTCTTTTAAAGGGGATACCCATAAGATATATTTTCCTTAATATTTCCGAAACGTGTTGAGATAAAGACATAAATTTTGGTAATCTAGCCTAGTTTTTTATGCTGGATTTAAAAACATTAACAGTTTTGTTTGGAAGCGTATGTAACAGGGACGGAAATTTTTGTGTGACTCTATTTTTGAAATTCAATTTTAAAATTTGAAAACTTATGGTTTTCTACATAAAAAAGGTACTCTTATTGAATATCGATAAATTGTGCCATTTTTGAATAAAATCAAACTAAATGATTTGTCACATGATAGGAAATATACTGCGAATTTAAATGAATTGTTGATTATACATAGTTAGCCATGACGGCAAACAAAAGTTGTTTTGATCTGTTATGACTTATTTTGACGTTAAGCTGACATTGTTAGCAGTGTAAAATTACTAGATTAAAATTAAAATTTTTATTAAATCGATTTGAAATGCCAAGATTTACAGACAGGGAAGTGACTGACATGCATTTTGTGTATGGGTTTTGCAATGGCAGTTCTTTGGCAGCCGTAAGAGAATATCAAAGAAGATTTCCCAATCGCATAGTACCTGGTCGTCGAATGTTCACTGATATTCACCGGAATTTGTCAAACCATGGAAGTTTTCAGCGCATGCAGGGCTCAGGAAGGCCACTGGGAAATCATCGTATGGATATTGCTTTAAATATGTTTGAAAATAATCCGCAAATAAGCATACGAAATGTTACAGAAAATATGGATATACCTCGTTCAATAGTAAGAAAAATTTATGAATACCTATTTCATATCCAAAAAATAATAATTTTAGATAGGAAGAATGACAAGAATGCAAGGATTACATCCTTGTCATTTTAAACGGGTGCAGCATGTAACGGAGGCAGAGTTTTTACCACGAATCGGGTTTTGCCAATGGATATTAGCAAACTAAAACGCTATTCCTAGAATATTATGGTCGAATGAGTCAATATTTACTAGTAATGATGCTTTTAATTTCCATAACATGCATAACTGGTCAGATGAAAATCCAAAAGTTGTTCGCGGTACAAATTTCCAACATAGATTATCATTGAACTTATGGGTAGGAGTAATTGGGGATTAAGTAATTAGGCCTACTGTATTTCCCAATCGTCTTAATTCAGAGGTGTATCTGAACTTTCTTCAGAATGAGTTCATGGATATAATACCATTGAATGTGCGCCAGCAGTTTCAAGAAAATATGTTTTGTTCAACGTGATGGCACCCTGCATATTTTGGACGCAATGTTCGAAATTGGTTGAATGTCAATTTTCCAGACAGGTGGTTAGGCCGTGGAGGTCCTATAGCGTGACCGCCACGTTCACCTAACCTAAATCCATTGGATTTCTATTTTTGGGGGTCATGAAAAGACCTAGTTTACTCGACTGAAGTAAATACTTAAGAAGATTTACTTCAAACAATCCATCAGGCTGCAAATGAAATAAGAAGAAAAAGGTTTTCTACTTTTCGGGCTACGCAATCATTAGTTCGTCGAGCGAGACTCTGTATCCAACAAAATGGGAATTTGTTTGAACACTTATTGTAAAGCTAGTTTTAAGTATATACAACTGTATGTCTTCATTTTTAAACAAATTACAATTTAGTTCGTAGAAAAAGCTTATTTCTTTTGTTTTGCAATAGAAATATGTATTTATGTAATATTTACCAATTATTAAATTAGTTTTTTCGTTGCCATGGCTAATTATTCAACAATTCAATTAAATTCGCAGTACATTTCCTATCATGTGAAAAATTCTTTAGTTGATTTTATTCAAAAATGGCACAATTGATCGATATTCAATAAGAGGACCTTTTTTATGTAGAAAACCCTAAATCTTCAAATCCTAAAATTGAATTTCAAAAATAGAATCACACAAAAATGTTGGGGCTAAAATAACCTGAGTCCGTCCCTGTTACATACGCTTTCAAACAATACTGTCTAAAATTGTTAATATTTTTAAATCCAGCATAAAAAATTAGGCTAGAATACCAAATTTTATGTCTTTATCTTAACACGTTTCGGAAATATTGAGGAAAAACCATCTTCAGGGGAGCCCCTTTAAAAGACCGTAGCGCCCTTAGGGGGCGTTTGTCGACCTATGCTTATACAAACTTTTCTTCCTATTTTAAGCTCTAGAAACCGCTGGTAGAATATTGGGACACCCTGTATAATAATATGGTATGATGGACTCTTGCCTGGTAATGGACATTATACCTACTTGCAGGCATTGTGCATTAGATTATTATTCTAGCATCAGTCAAGTATGCTGTATACATTTTTCTGCAAAAGATCTAAGCTGTCATCAATTATTGGATAAATATTCAGGTCATCCGCAAAATTTGGTTTTCTACTCTTATTAAGGGTATATGGTTGATATCATTAATAAACATCAAAAGCAGTAGAGGACCCAAGTTAGGACCTTGTGTCACTTCCTTTGTTGTGGTGTGTATGATTCTCATTTGAACCCGTTATGCTGCACTAAATGAACGCGTTCAGATAAATACGAACGGAAAAATATCAACAAATCCTCAGAAAACACAAAATTATACATCTTTTAAGCAAAATCGTTCGACCAAACACCTTTGCAAGATACATAAATATAACGGCAACTTTTGTTATTGTTGATCTACAGCATCTACCGAGGGCGTCTTTTCACCAAACATTGATCTTCAGGCACGAACACTTCTGAAATGAGTATTGTGTATCGGAACTCATCTCCATATATCAATCTGTACTTGACAAATCGTGCGTGAACTGCCATAGACAGCAAAGCTTAAATGTATTATCAATATGAAGCATTTTCGAACCCATGAACATTTTTTATAGTTGCTCGTGCCGACTCTGTCCTTCAATGTCCATGAAACCATGGCGTAAAGTTCTGTGTTTTGACTTGCAAAGCAAATTTAATCCTAGTCATTTACGTAGTTGTTGGATATGCGACAGTTCCATAAAATTTTGCAAGAAAATGAACTTACCAGAGTCAAATGCTACCTCACTCAGTAGTATCCACTTGGAAGCGAAGTACAGTTGTATCTTCAGGTATTTACCAAAGCGGTGATGTAACTTGATTGTGACGTTTCTGGAGTGCTCCATAACGAGATCTGGCATGTAGGAAAAATGTACGGGTTCCGGATTGAAGGTGTGGCCATTTGTGCTGAAGAAGACTCTTGCATGGGAAAATACCTGTGAAATGTAGTTACGTCAAGCAGAATTTAAAGTCATATGTATATTAGCATATCGGCACTTTTGATACTATGAATTGGCCGATATGATAGATAGATTGATAGGCATTAATTTCATCTCTTCATGTACAAAGTACTAGGTAGACACGTCACGAAAAACAATTTAATAAAGACGGCGTCTATATTAAGACAATCACAGAAAAAGCGCAGAGGTACAATGTTCAGTCATGAACTTCTTTAAAATATACTAAGTGACATATAAATCCGAACACCCAGTTTAAATGGCTTTATTTCAATAAAAGTTGGTGAATGTATTTATCTTACTGTAAATAACAAGTGAAAAAATTTTCAGCCTTATCAGTTGGACATTCCGGTTTTTATACTGCTTTTTTTTAATTCACTAACGCTCTAAAAATGAATATTTCAGCCGCAGTAAAGAATCGACGTCGGCGGATTTTGGTTCTTGACATCCTTTACGATCGGTTACGATGCCTAGAGTACGAAGACCAGTACGATTTCGTCAACTTAGTGAGTTTGATAGAGGCCGTATAGTGGGACTTCGGGAAGCTGGACTTTCTTTTCGGGCAATTGCAGTTAGAATGCAAAGAAGTGTATACACTGTGGTTAGGTGTTGTCAGGCATGGCTTCGAGAAGGCCGTACGCAGTACGCAAAGAGCAAGGGGCACTCTGGACGCCGCCGTAGAACAACAGACCGTGAAGATCGCCGCCTAAGATTATTGGCCTTGAGGGACCGTTTCTCCACTACCAGGTCCATTGCAAATGAATGGTTTGCAGAACACGGAAGACCTATTGGCATGCGAAGTGGTTACCGACGAATGAGAAGTTTTGGCTTGTTTTCATACCGGTCACACTGGGTCCTCCCTTTAACTTGAGAACACCGACGTAATCGGCTTGAGTGGTGCAGACAACGGTCACTCTGGGATCAGGAATGGAACAGTATTGTCTTTAGTGACGAGTCTCGATTTTGTTTAGGCATGCACGATGGTCGTGCCAGGGTTAGAAGGCGACGTGGTGAAAGGAGGAATCCACAGTTTTTTGTTGAAAGACATGTTCATCACACTGTTGGAGTTATGGTTTGGGGTGCTATAGCTTATGGTTCCAGGTCACCTTTAATCTCCATCAGAGGTAACATGAACGCGCAGCGTTATATCCACGAAGTTCTAGAACCCCATCTTTTACCCTATCTTGACACCCTGGCAGATCCAACTTTGCAACAAGATAATGCCCGACCACATGTTGCAAGAGTCACAATAGACTCCTTTCAACATAATGATGTCACATTGTTACCATGGCCACCAGGATCTCCCGACTTATCCCCAATTGAGCACGTGTGGGATATGATGGGTAGGAGATTTCTCAATTTGCAACGTCCTCCTCAGACTCTAGAAGCACTTCGAGAGGAGTTGGTGGTTGCCTGGAATGAGATACCACAGGAGGACATTGACCACCTAATCAGCAGCATGCCTAGGCGCGTTGGCGAATGCGTAGCACAGCAGCGTGCATCCACACATTATTAAAGGTCAAAGGGCTTTAAGGCAGTGCAATCATTTTGAAATTTTTATCATTTACTTATTATGCTTCACTAAGTACTTATACAAAATTTTATTAAAATAAAACCATTTAAACTGGGTGTTCGGATTTATATGTCACTTAGTATATGTTTAAACTGTATTAAGTTGACAAGTACATGCTGGAGGATGATTGTACAGATCTAAGCGTGGGAAATTCTGCTTTGGTATTGATAGTGAGAATCTGGATGCCTCAAGTCATCAGACGGTCTAGTCTGGTATCGTAATATCATGGTTCTAATGGATTTGCTCCTGAATAATGAATAGTATATTTATTTTACTAAAATTACTCCATAATGTTATACCATAGGTAAGCTGTGAATGAAATAGCCTAAAGTAGCAGCTTTTTGATACTTGTAGGTTGATCTGCGATTTCAATTTTCGCAGAAGACAAAGGGGTTTGGTTAATTTTACCCAACTTGATGAGCCATTTGCCAGTACAGTCGAAACAGGCCAATGGATATAAATCACAACGTAAACAACTTTTAATGCCAATAAACTGAAGGCGGACACGACTTTTTCTGTGTATAGTAAAACGAAACAAACGCTATTCTCAGCATCCAGGCGGATTACGGCTAAAAACTAAGTGGGTGTTTTCTGAAGTAGCCTAGGTTTCTAATGAAATTTTTCAAAAACACCGCATATAACAAGAACATCTATATGCGCCAGTTTAGCGAGGGACGAAAAGTAGTGAGAAAATAAAAATAAAAAAACATTCTCTCGCATCTTGTAGTATTTCTTAAAAACCATCTCCTTCTGAGCAAAAGTCACAAGTACTCTCTTACTCACTTTACAGAGACATAGATGACCTACGCATTTATTTATAAAGCCCTTGGAATTGACCTCGTGAATCGACAATTAATAAGAACGATTAGATAAAAATGAAGTATACGTTTTTCCGGTCATCTTAATTTTCGCAGCTTGTATTCTAGTTCTGTGTTCCTTATTGCGTTGTTATAATAAATTGAAAATTGCAGTAAGACTTGTGGGAGAAATTTTGGGAAATAAATTTCAGTGAACGGCTCTTCGACAAAATTTGCTGTTGAAATAACTGCTTCCAGTAATCTACTGATTTTTTTATCATAATCCATCATCGATTTTCGTATCTAAAATCATACATTGTGATGGACCGTTTTAGATGCGTGAACCAATTGTTGATAAGAAAATAACGATACGACCGCTCCTTTGTCCCGAGGACGTCGATATTGTGGAACAATCTACAAGAGGCTTTTCCCAGTTCTATTAACCTCAGGCAGTTCAAAAATCGATTTTTTTTTTGGAATCATCATAGCAGCCGCGGTGTTCCGGCATTTGGGCTTCTGCCTGCGCGGCTGCTCCAATATAAAAAAAAAACAGATAAAGACAAAGACTATTGACCTGAGCTATAGTTGATTCTCAATAACCCTTATTGTTTGTTGTTATCTTATAAAATATGAAAGTTACAATAAATGTCATACCTGAACATCACTAGTGAAGAGATTGTTGGTGTGGAGATAAGCAGCAGAAAAATTTCGGACCTTATCAAACTCGAAGGTTATTTCTAGTGGCAGTCCAGCCCATCCAGCAGTGTCGTTCCTCCATCCTACCCATTCGTATCCTGGAATAAAGGCAATGATGTTATTAACAAAATGCAAAGCACTCATGTTAGCCAATTAAATAAAACTTTGATAAACCTAGTTTTAGGCCCCTATCGTCAGTCATCCACTAGCCATATGTCACACAACATAGATTTGCCAAACCAGTTCGGCAGACTAATCTATCCGTACTGCAGCACAAAACACATATACACGGATCACGCATGTGGAAAAGGACATCGTTTCAAGATGGACAGTAACTACCGATAGGAGAGGGTAAGAATGTCTACGGACTATCTATATGGATCTTTTTGAGTGACTTAGGCCCGTATCGTCAGTCGTCCCTACAACTGTAGGGCGCGTTTATGGCCTCCTTCATTGTCATACTCGTTTCTCTCCTTCAAAAATTTCTAGATTACACTTGTCCCGTGTCAGCATCAGCGCTCTCCTATTGTGAAGATATGTTTTCTTTTTAAATTGTAGGAAATTTCAGGCTGATAAAACATGATACAACTCAAAAGCAAGCACAATTTGATGCAAATAGATGTTTGTGACATAACCTCAAAATAAAGCGCTGGCACGGAGAAGTAGAAAATTATGACGATCAAGGAGGCCATAAAGGTGCCCTACAATTGTAGGGACGACTGACGATACGGGCCTAAGACCTTGCAGCAATAAAAAAAATTCATATTCGTCACTCGTTTCACAAGCAAACGAAACTCGACACATTGGGGCAATTTGGGATGCTGATTTCGGATATGGCTATAAAAATGCAAAAGTACCGCATGTTTGGAGAAGGAAAATGGGACTTCTGGAAGCTCCAGTCCATTTCAATGAAAAACTGACATCAGCTTCATGATCTACGAGGGCTATTTTTAAAATAAGAACCTACTGCGAGTGCCCGCGTTTCCTGTCTCGTAACGTCCGTTCAACCTCAGACAGTCTTGGCCAGATTTTTAATACGCCAACATTACGATTCAAGTCTCTGTCGGTGTTGGTTGCCTGGATATACTGCTGCTTGTTTGCCGCCATAGCCACTCAGAAAAGGATTGTGAAGTACGCTCAGTAGTTCGGTTTTTAAACACAAAAAAGCTGGCTTGCTATAAATGCTGTAAAACATTATTAAAGTGATACAAAACCGCTAACGGGGCCTACTTTCTAGTGGTTTCACGACTGCGCTCGGCCTCACGTTGCAGCAAGAACACGGACGTAACTGGAAAAGTTTAATTTTGAATTATTGGATGATCCACCATCCACACTTGATTCAGTACAACAGCTTTCTAGTAGTATCACGGCAAGGCTCGGCCTCACGTTGCGGCAAGAACAAGTTTCATTGGTAGTTCTTGGATGATCCACCATTCAGCTCTGACTCAGCACAATCACACCTTCATCTTTTTCCAAAGCTTAAGGAATTTCTTGATGAAAAGCGCTTGGAGAATGTTGGCATTTTGAAAGAAACAGTTACTTCCTGGTTTAACGGCCAGCTGGCAGAGTTCTTTGACGACGGGATCCAAAAGCTGTTGCCATGAATTGATAAATCTTTTAATGCGACTATGTTAAAGATGAAAAAAATGTTCATATTTTACTTTGTGGTACAATTTACGTTCAGAAACAAAGTTTCCCTGACTCCATGACAAAACAATGCCCACTTAAAAAATCTAACCTCGCGCGTATCCAATTTACATGGACGCGGTTTTAATCGATATTGCAATTGCCCAAATTTGTTTATGTAAAATTTCGATTTTCGTTTCCCGTTGTTACAAACGGATAAAACTCGGTATGTTAGAGTAATTTGGGATGCTGAAGTCTTATTATGGAGTAGGAAAAAAAATGTTGAGGTCTCCGGTCGATCCCAGCGAAAAAACGAAGTCAGATCCTTAATGCACGTACCAGATTTAGACAGCATATGAATTAAATAGATTTTTTTTGTTCATGGATATTGTGAATGGCCGTAGATGGTAGATGGGGTCTCGGAAAATCGAGCGTGGAGGTACCAGCTGGCGGATTTCTAATCCAGGGCTAGAATGTGTGCATGTCGCATTTTGGTAATGGTTTCCGAAATATCTGTGAAAGCTTATTCAGACGATAACAATACGACGTCAACCGTTTCCTAGGAAAATCTGATATATTTAATGATGCCAAGAAGATTCCGTAGTATATCTTTGACTAACATATTCTCTATGAGAATTTGACACATAATTTTCCTCTTCTCAGTACTTTGAAAACTTGGCATATAGCTGCAGCGCCATCTATGAGCCACTAGCCTTTTCAAAGTAGATTTCTACTTATTGCGGGAGGAAAAGGAAAGATGTGGCAAACTTTATAGGTGACTCGGTATTCCATTCATCTCGAATAACTTTTCGGACACGCAAATATAGTGTGTAGTCTAATCCTATTAGCAAATTTCCCCAAAATAATTGATTGGTTTTATTGATGCAAGTTGTTCAACGGTGTTTTAAAATATGAAGGCATAAAATGTGTATACTAATTTTTTTGTTAGAAAACTTTTTATTTGATAACAAAGAATGAGAAAATGTGTATTTTTGGATTCAATCGAAAGTTTTGTCAGGAACCAAAAAACTCTTCAAATAAGATTTATCATACCTACAGAATGAGACCTCACGTAAAAACATCCGACTAATAGTAGAAAAGTTATGGCCGAAAACCGAGGAAAAATGCAGGTTATGACTCTTGTTGCTTGAAATTCGTAGGCTTCATACTCCTAAATAACCGCAACAAGATTGGAATCGATTGGTCAAGTAGTTTTTGAGTATTTCTAATTGCTCATTCCACACCATCTGTCTTCCGGCCATCACTACTAGCAATATACAGGGTGGGTTCAAAGGGGATTTTATAGCGAAATATACAAGTTTACCGCCCAGGCATGAATCACAAACCGTTCCGAAAGATAGTTGTTATTTTTAAGCGAAAAACGAAGGAGGGGATATTAGCGGAGGAACGGATAAACAGTTAGAAATTCTTAAAAACTGCTTGACCAATCGACTACAATTTTGTTGTCGTTATTTACGGATTTGAAGAATTAGAAGTATATGCCTGAAACTATCGTCGCATTACCAACAACAAGTGCTAAAACCTGCATCTTGCCTCGATTTTCGGCCATAACTTTTTTAATATTAGTCGGATATTTTTACGTGTGGTCTCATTCTGTGGGTCTCATAAATATCTAAAAACCTTATGAGAAGAGTTTTATCCTTCATGGCAACACTTTCGATTGAATCCCAAAAAACACGTTTTATCATCCTTTGATGTCGAATAAAAAGTTTTCCCACCAAAATATGTGTACTCATTTTATGCGTCCATGATAAATACCCCATTGAACAACTTGAATCAATAAAACCAGACTTTGCAATTATTTCGCAAGCCAGGGGTATTTTCTTCTAATATGATTAGACTAATGCGGTCAACCATCTTCAGGTAGAATACGTTGATCAATGATTATGTCTGTGCCATTTTGTCTTGTCCACAGTTTGTAAATCTCCATTTCGGATATATGTATATGATCTGGAGCCAGATTTTCCTATCTTTAAATATGCATTCCTCAATCTGCGCGATCCGCTTTTTCGGTTTCTACTGCCAACGCATCCGGAAGGGCGAATGTCAGATTCGGCTATACGGCTCATCTTAAATTATTCATACGCCAAGGTACGAGTACATACATACATATGTAAATCCTGCCGCATTTTTGTGGATGCAACGGTGTTACGAGTTGCGGTGTTTTCCAAATCCTGCTATTATTGCGATAATAATCGGGGTTGTTCAGTTTGCCTGTTGTGAATTGGTGGCTGTAACATTCATCAAAACTGACTGTATGATGTCTGATGTTAGAATTACAAAAGTATATCACTGTCACAGAGTAACAAAATAACAAGAAGAAGTAGATAGCTACACACTGTAGTGAATAACATCAGGTAGTAGTACGAAAAACTTTGTAACTGGTAGTTTTTAGGGACTACTTGATGTACTTAAATTTTTTGCTCGACAGTTCGTTTGTGTGTAAACTTCATCTACTTTATTTTTATAAGGTCCGTAAAAGTAGAACCTGTATCTGTTAGCATTTTTTTATATCTCAGTAAGCCATGCAATTTTTACAACTTTCTCAACGGCATGTAAATATGCCCCAAAGATGGCAATTTTTTCCTAATTTAGCCTAAGTTGTATCTACCGCAGGTACTGAGACCCTGATGCATATAATCCTTATCTTGGACCCTGTTTATCTATATCTCCTTTGATACAGTGGACAAGAACAGTCTATCAACTATATTCCTTCAAAACATTTTGATCCTCGCAGACCAGTCATATACCCAGGCCTTAATAAAACGAAGTTGTATTATACCAAGCCTAAGCAAATCCTGTGTCGTCAAAAATGGACATGGAGTACACGACTCTAGAAAATTCTTGGATCCCTTATGATGTTCAAAGATAACGTGCTCAATAAGGTTTGTAATGTATATTTGTCTTAGTTATGTGATCGAAATGTACAATTTGTTGTACAAGATTCTCAGTAAATTGTACTATTTGATCACATAATAGAAGTGCTCCATCAAGAGCAACTGCAACTTATAAGATTATATATATATATATATATACATCCGTTTCACCCTTCTGCATCCGTACATTTCTCCATTTACATATTATTCTGCGTCCACTACCTTTGTCGTCCATATACGGACGCAGAAAGAATTTGGTACCATAATTCTGTCCTACATGCGATATCAAACTTCCCGCGTAGAATAATCGCGTCAGTTTCATAGGGACTTTCATTTTTTAGGGTCGTCTTGTTTCTAGAAGTTGTGGTATAAAACCCAGCACACATTAATATGGACGTAGAAAGATGGTAAAATGTACACTTGTTATCTGGCGGTAGTTCTAAGATTGGCCGCAGTGGCGTAATTATCGCTACTTAAATACGCAGGATGTATATTTCATGGACACATGATTTTAATGATTCTGCGTCCTAAAATGTGACAACATCGCCTTGCGGTATGATTTGCTTGTAAAAATGATACTCAATCTGGTGCGTAGCTGTTGCATTTCGGACGACGGCTAAA